CTGGCTATTTACTTACAAGTTGGGAATGGGAGAGTCCTGTTTATGGAGATGAGGGGTACTTGGATTGATATCTGGTCCCTCTCAGTCCCGAGGGCGAACACCCACACAAACAAAGAACACACACAAAAGCCTTCTCCCCCCAAGATTTGAAAGTATCTTGTCCCCTTATTGGTCCTTTAGGTCAGATGCCAGCCAGGTTACCTGAGCTTCTTAACCCTTTACAGGGAAAAGGATTTTGGAGTCTCTGGCCAGGAGGGATTTTATAGTACTGTACACAGGACAGCTGTTACCCTTCCCTTTATAGTTATGACAGCACCTGAACACTAACTCTTGCTCTGGGAAGCCTACCCTCCACAGTCATAGTCCTAGCTGAAGAAGGCTTACCCACCTGAACCCTAACCTGGAGAACCATACCCACCTGAACCCAAACCCTACTCACCTGAACCCTAACCCTCACCTGGAGAGCCCTGCCCTCCACAACCCTAACCTTAGCCCAGAGAGCACTCCCCTCCATAATCCTTACCCTAGCTCAGTGAAGCCCACCTACCTGAACCCTAACCTTAGCCCTGATAGCCCTGCGTTCCACAACCCTATCCCGAACCCGGGGAGCTCTGCCCCCTATACCCATGGTATTACTAACAGTTTTACCCCATACATTACGAAAAATTCTTCCCCTCATTTATCAGATTCTGTTTATTTTCAGCAGGTCTCATAGTAATTCATGCCAAATTATTTGAGTTCCATTCTCTTAACATCCTTTGCCTGCTGGTATTTTCAGGAAATGTTTGTATGTATTGCAATACTGCAGAGGCAGATGACCACTGAATATCTCCAACACACATGGAGCTAAAAATAATAGTATTTCTAACTCATGTCAATTTGATATTTATGATCTTCTAAAAATACATCCTGTAAGGAGGCATGGTATCTTTGGTATGTTGCTTTATTTATATATTGAACAGGTTTCTCTAAAAAGTTTATCTGTTTTTGTTTTCAGGGTACACAAAGTCTAATAGCAATAGCAACAGTTATGAGCCATAACAAAGCGATGAAAGCACTAAACCTAAACCGTCCTATACTGTACAGCCAAGAGGTATGTGTATATACTGTAGGGTCAGTTCAATTAAACAGATATACGCTTACAGAGAAGCAATACTGATACTTTTATGGAGGCTGTGGAAGCAGAGAAAGAACTGACAGGAAGGGGATGCAATGTATGACAGTTCTTTCTCTGCTTCCACAAGGCCTATAGTGATCTTGGACTGTATGTCTCTCTGGGGCTTCTTTATATGTTTGTCTGAGAGCTGCCAGGGTTGTTTTTTAAGTCTTTCTGCCCAAGGAAGAGAGAACACCAAGAAAAAAGATTGTAGACAGACTCAGGGGCCAAGATTTTCATACCTCCTTGCCTAGGGTTATGCTCCTGAATCATAATTTAGGCACATGAAGAAACAGCTTTCTTTTCAAAGTGCTCAGTTCTTAACCTCAATAGAGCAGTTGGATGATCAGCCCTTATTTAGGGGTTGTCTAAATGGAAATTGCAGAGTAAGAGTGGCTTTTTTTGTTTAGCTTAAACTCTTTCCTAAGTGACATAAACAGAACCAAAGAAATGTCACTCTTAAAATGAGGTAAGTGTCCATTTGGCAGTTCTGACAGTATAACTACATCAGTTTAAATTCACACCTTGGCTTTTATTGAAAAAACTTCCCTGTGTAGACAAGACCGTAGGTGCCTAACCATGGATTTAGGAGCCTAATTTTAGGCTCCTGCTTTTGAAAAAATCTGGACCAGAATAAACACCACGCTATACTAAGGGCCCAATCCAACACCCAGTGAAGATTATGGGAGTCTTCCCATTTGTTACTCTTCTCTGGTCTGTAGGCTTCTCCATTGTGTCTACCTGACTGAAGCCCCATATAAATTATTGTCTTAACCAAAGGTGATAACTTTGAAACCAATTCGCTGCCTCTTATAGAGGCAGGATATATGTTTTTTCTATAGTTAATCCCTCTTTCAAAGACTTCTGCTCTTCATAAAATAATTGTTGATACCTATTTCTGTTACACCATTGACGTCAATAGGAATTGGATCAAGTCCTAAAACATTGTGTCATGGAAACTTGGAAAAGAAATGATCAAGGTAGATGAGAGAACTAGTAGTTGTTAGAGTATTGACTTGCCTGAGATTTACACTACAGGGATATACAGTTCTGTAAATCTGCAGCCACATTTTGGTAACTTTCACTATTTTCCCAGTGATCACAATAAGAAATTGTTTCCTGATTTTTTGTATATCAAGTTGTAATACATCAGAAGGAAGATGAGTTAAGGCCAAATTCTGCTCTTTGACATCTACCGTTGACTGCAGGGAAGGTTGTACTTGTTCTCGGGGCCAAACACCAAAGAGTGGTGTTTGACCCTAAAAACTGATCTGACGTTAAAATTATAGTTTAACTGAGATTTTATTTTTAGGAAGAAACCACAGTTCACACAGCTCTAATGATGAAAAATAACTCGTGTCTTATGGAACTGCATTTGTGCAAACATGAAATTAAGAACTTCGGTGTGGAGCGACTGTGTGATGCATTGTATGAAAACCGCAGCCTGCGATATCTTGACCTCAGTTGGTAAAAGATTCACCCTCTGTTTTTGTTTAAATTACACAAACATAGAGTATATTGTTGCTGGTGAAAACTGTGCACAATGCAATATCAGTGTAGCAGGCAGGCGGGGTATTATATGGTATTGCTACTGTTCCCTCCAGAAAAAATGTGATTTTTCTAGGTGAGATGGAGAGTTGAGGTGGAAGCCATAGTTGGAGGGAGTGCAACAGTATTAAGGGATAAACTAGTATTTAGCCATAGCCTTAGCTGTGAGGGTGGTGGAGACATGCCACCACAGAAGGAGCACCAGAAAACATTTTGCCTCAGGGAGGTGCAATGCCCCCTATGTATATCGAGGAGCAATTAACAACACCCCTTTAAGGGGTGCAGCATCCTCCACCCTCCCCAGCTTGACTGGTCAACTCTGCTATGACTCTGGCCACAGAAGGAGGGAAAGAAAGGTCTCCCTCTCTCCTCTCCCCTGCTGCTTAAGGGCTATGCCATAGTCTAATCCTAAATTTACAAGCTTCAACCTAAGTGGTCAGCTATATCTGATTAAATCATTTTCCTGCCTTGCAGGGGCCTCAGGCCTGGGTGCATTTCAGTCCCTCCTTCTTTTCTACCCATTGTCATGCAATAGTTTAGTCTCCTGAGAGCTTTAATACTTTCATCTAATTCTTGTTGTTGGGCTTGGTGTGGGGGTAGGGTAGCTGGGTGGTGTTGGTGGCCTGTGATATAAAGGATGTTCGACTATAGATAATCTGATGGTCCCTTGTGGCCTTAAATTCTGTAGTACTATACACTTGAGTGAAGAAAGAGCACTTACTCTACAGTACATACTAATCAGACAGTGTGTGAAATTATGCCACTCTACAGATGTAAAAAATCAAAATTGGAAAAATACAAGACAAGACATTTAGGACCTGATCCGGTTATCCAGCAACTATTGGAAGTGTTAGAATGGGTTCTAAAAATCCCCTTAATCTATTAGCGTGTGTTAATAGTTGCCAGTTGGAGTAAAAATCTGGTTGGAGTATATGTATTGTACATCGCTTCAACAGCTGTACATTTCAGAACAGTTTATTCAGCAGCCTCTGAGGCATTTTTTGCCTAGGAAGTAATGTTGCCGGTTTCACAATAGTATCTCCCTTTAAAAACAAAACATTTCTCTTTCAGTAATAAAATAACTCGTGATGGTGTGAAATTTTTGGGAGAACTGCTGAAACGGAACCAAACTCTGGAAATCCTAGATCTTAATTCAAACAGGATAGAAGATGATGGAGCCATCTATCTGAGTGAAGCTCTGGCTTTGTACAACAGGACTCTTCAAGCGTTAGTATAGATAAAACTCCCCAAAAGAGATTGCAGGTGTAACTAGTGGAAAATCGGAAAACGTGACACAGCAGTATATGAGTTGGTACATCATTTTTTTACGCTAGTCAGCCAAACTGCAAAGTCAAACAGTTTCCAAAATCACATGGATGGGGACAGCTGGGGTCACTGATGATGACAGTCCCATGGCTTCACCTGGACTCTGGCAGAACCAGTGAAATACCAGTCTGAGGAATGCTCCCCACTCAGCAAAGCAAACCTGAGTGTCTGGACTGGCTGGGTTGAACTGCTGGGTCAATCTGTGGGAGGGAAGTCACATGGACTCTCCGCTCTTAGGAGGAGGGATGCTAGAAACAAGAAAGGCTAGGGGCAGAGGGAAGAGAGAGAGAAAACATGAAGATGCTCCCTTCCCACCAGTGACAAAGCCCTAGCAGTTTCCCTACCCAGCTTCTGACCCCTAAATTTGATCATCCCCCTGGCAAAAGGAGACCAAACTCTTTACCACCTCAGTGACTAAACCCTGGAACACTACTGCTGCCAAGCACTTCCCTTCATGGCAAAAGTGCCAAACTCTCTCCTCCCTCCACCAGGCACAATTCCAAGCTGCTAAATTTTCTGGTTTACCCTTCCTATGGTCAATTCTACTAAAAGCCCTTTAAACTTTTTTCCATTTTATTTGTTTTCCACCCCCCTTGGTTTAAGTTATTTGTTGTTATAGAACAGTAGTTTCTGTTGGAAATGTTTTTACTGCTTGTTCTCATACTTTTGATATTTTAGCAAGTTCTTTTCCCCTTATGGATGAATCTAAAATTAATTTGATAGTATTTTCCTCTGTATTATATTTGTTCACAGTTCACATCTCGAGTCACTCTAATGAACATTTGGCGGTCAGATCTGGTTCTCGCTTCTTTTTAGTATCTTGACTGTCTAGGCCCTTTCCTGCAAAAGGATTTGCAAACAAAAATCCTAATTGTTGCACAGAGTGCCATTTAAGTCACTGTGACACACTGCAAGAATAGGGGTGTGTGTGTGTTGTTTCAGGTCTTAACAAGGATTTTCTTGAAGCCTTTTTTTAGTTTATTTCAGGTTCACCAGGAGATTATCTAATCTCTCCTACAGGATATATTATGTGTCTTGCAGAAAACCATACCTTTGGCTGGATGTAAGCACTGATCATAGCTGTTGCCCGAAGCCATTAGTTTTGGGGAGTAAAGATCAAAGAGTCTGCTAGGTGCCTCTGAAAAACTTTCAGGTTCACCAATACAAAAATACCTCTCCCAGCTCCAGGATCGAAGTTTAACTTGGCTAGAAGCCAGGGCCATGCTTCAAAACAGACTAAATATAAGAGCTGGCCACCAAGCATAGGGTCACCTGCTTTAAAGAAATGAATTGTCTAATATAGGACTTAACAGATTTGAGCTATAAAAATCTTTTGTTGCTGATTTGTTCCAAATACCATACTTATGAGGTAGGAATCAAATGGCTTGGAATTTACGTATATAATTTGTTTTTGTTTTATTTCTTCTGTTTACTAGGTTAGCAGTAGTGAGCAACAATATAAGTGGAAAAGGACTTGTTGCTCTTTCGGATTCAATGAAAACAAACATGGTGCTTTCCTACATTTATATTTGGGGAAACAAATTTGATGAGGCCACCTGTGTCGTAAGTGTTTTCTTTAGCACTGACTTTTTCCACACCTTATCTTCGTTTTATACAACTAGTATGCTCACTACAACTATTTGTAAAACTGATGTGTAGTTCATTATATTTTATTTTATTGTAAAATTATGGTAGTTGTGGCATTGTCTTCTCATACCAAGCAATTACTGGACAGTAAAAATATACAAGTGATTAAAATGCCATTGAGTGCTGACCCCGTCTGCATCATCTTCTACTGTTCTGCTTTGGACTTTCTAAGCCTCTGACAGGTAGAACGTTAGAAGAATGTTAAATTCAAATCCTTTGCATTTGTTCATTTCAGGCATTTTCAGACTTAATTAAAACTGGCCGCTTGAAACCAAATTGTACAGACGTGGATCCGTATGAAGTGGATGGGCATGTATATCTTGCAGAACTCCCTCATGGCCTTAAAAGGCATTACTATTGGACACCAAGTTATGGGGAGGTTGATAACAAAGATGCTAATGCCAGTCTTGCAATAGGAGCAGTTGCAGAACATTTGTGAACAAGGTAACAACTTGATGCATTTAGATCTATCAGCTTGAGGGTTTTTCTGGCTTATTTCTTTGTAAATCAAAATGATAGTATGTAATTTCTTGAGGAAGTTATTTTGGAGTGCGCCAATATACATTTGAAAAGTACTAGAGATAAAACCAACTCAAACTGAGTCCAACATGAGTTTTTTAACAAAGTAGTATATGTTGTTGCTGTAGGCAGTGGTTCCCAACCTATTTAGCATTGTGGGCCCCATATGCAGCTCTCTCTGTGTTATGTGGGCCCATCCACACAATATACATACTACCTATATAGCCCTGAGGATGTCACATGGGCCACAGCTGTGTGCTGATTGAGCTGCAGGTTGAGGACCACTGCTGTAGATAAACAGACGCTTGCTAAATGATGCCCAGACTATGATTAAAGAACTCTTATGATGAAACTGCATGGGTTTAATTGCTGTCATTTTTTATATAAGGAGACACGATGATCTCTGTTACAGACTCTTGTCTCAAGCTTCCGTCTTCTTTCTGTGCCCAGTCACTTAGTCAATATGATCCACCCTCCCACAGAGTAACAGTGGAAGAGCAACCAACTATGACAGCAGTACTTTGCACTATCTTCCACAGGTACAGCACAAAGTTGTGGGGGTGGGTTTTAAGTGACAGATTATACTGCCCTTAAATAGAGTGTACATTGGCAAGAAAATCAGGCTTCTAAAATAAAGCAAAATTGTCAAGTAGCTACAGCAATGCACTTAGAAAGCACCTATGTAAGTATTATTGTTGGTTTGACTCTCAGTGCCACAACGTTGCTATCCTAGCGCTATGGGACTACTTAGGGCCCCACTGTATAAGGCAGAAATATCCAAGAGGGTATTGATACTGATTGTGTGTGTGTGCACAAAGTTAGCCTTAGCCCTGGAAGTGGGGAGAGAGAGATATTGGGCTTTTGTGCCTGTTTAGATACCATGCAGATCAGAATCACTGTAATGACTTAGGCCAGCGGTTGATCTGCTCCAGTATCCTGTCTTGCAGTGTCTATGAGAAAGATGCCTATTGGCTCATAAGGGACAGTTATGGAATATCCTGCTTCCAGATAGTTTCTTCTTACTGTTAAATATCAGAGGGTAGCCGTGTTAGTCTGTAGCCACAAAAACAATGAGGAGTGCGGTGGCACCTTAAAGACTAACATTTATTTGGGCATAAGTTTTCGTGGGTTAAAAACCCCACTTCTGGGTTTTTTACCCATGAAAGCTTATGCCCAAATAAATCCATTAGTCTTTAAGGTGCCACCGGACCCCTCATTGTTTTCCTACGGTTAGGTAGGCCTGGTCTACACTACAGTTAGGTTGACATAAGGCAGCTTATGTCAACCTAATTATGTCAGTGTCTACACTACAGCCTTGCTCCTGCCAATGTTAAGTGTCCTACTACACTGACATAACGCCACCTCCATGAAAGATGTAGGGCTTCTGTCGGTGTAGTTAGGGTGATGCAGTGTCTGTTACTTACATGGGCTGACAAGACAGCCAACAATTTCATGGCATGGATAGCTAGAACCCAGCTGCCCCCATTCCCTGGGAGAGCTGGCCATCTGGACCCCCCTCCTGGTTGGGAGCTGGAGCGAGAAGCTGGGGGGGCAGCCAGGCTCCCAGCAGGAAGCTGCCAGCAGAGTTGAGAGACCGTGCTCCCAACACTGCCCCTCTTAGGTCAGTGGAAGTGCTCCTGCTATGCCACCAAGCCAAGCAGGGTAGTGTGGACATGCACCACCACAGTATTTACCGTGGTGGCTGTAAGTAGACCTAATATAGGTTGACTTAAGTTTCTAGTGTAGACATACCCTTAGTGGTAGGTTTATTTGAGAAGTATGATAGTATGTTTATATTCTTTGTCAAAATCTTAGATCATCCTCCACTTTTGCTGCACATTTATGTTCAAACTACTTTCACTGATTAACAATGCATAAGTTGTTAATTTAATTTACTATTAATGCTAATGATGGATAATTTTATTCATAAAAGTAATGTAAGCTTAAAATAGGCTGTGATAAGTAACCATGACTCTGCCAGAAGCAGTGTTTTAATTTTAATTGGTTTGATGAGAGTAATAACATCACAAACAAAATGTGAAAGGATAAATGGCATCCATTTTGAAAATAAGTGATGTGTATTTTCAAAGAACACCTTCACTGCACCTCATTATTTATTTTAACAGTAAGAGCCTTGGCCTGTGACAGCATTCTGTTCTATTGCCATTATCACCAATGGTTGTCCACATCTCTAACACCACTAATTCCTTCATACTTTTTATGAGAGAGTGCTATAAGATGTTTACTTCTAAATCTATTACAGTACTTATTTCAGCAGGTTTCTTCAAATTAAAATAGCCAAAATAACAAATTCTGTCCGAGGACTAAGGTAGCTTGTATACTTCTGAATTAAAAAATTACTATAGGCAAGAAACTACTACTTTATTCCTGTGAATAAACTGTAATAGCTAAAATGCTACATAGTTCTCATCTTTGAAGCTCCAAGCACTTTACAAGGGGAAACTGAGGCACTGGGACAAGATACGATTTGCCCAAAGTCACCCAGCAAGTCAGTGGCAGTGCTTTAGCCAACAGACTCTACTGTCTCCATAAAAAAAAATACAAGTGATTTAAAAAAAAAAATTAAGATAACCTCTGTAGAAGACATTCACTGCAAAGTAATGTATATCTGCTTTAAAACTTGGGGGTAAACTTGCATTGTTTTGCACACTGCTTTGAATCTTTCACTGCTCAAAAATAATTATAGTAAGTAGTATTTAGAACAAAGTTTTTGTTCCTTTACACCCAAAATATTACCTTGTAGCAAGGGACTTGGGTGTTTTCTTCTGTTGGAAGGAAAATGTAATGAATGATGCTGTTCCCAGATAACCCTTATACAGCTGTATACGGTGCTAACGGCTGTCTCTGAGCCCTCTATGATGCTTGCATAGTGCGTTGTGATGGTGGTTATGTTAGACTGTCTCCCCTCCTCCTTTAATTACTACCCTTTGTAATTACAAACACCAGACACAAACTGAGGGAAAATTACAAAACAAGTTTATTAAAGCCTAACAAACACTGCAACCTAAGTATGTACAAAACCCCCACAGGGGATTATAAAAAAAGAATTGAACTATCTACACATAACAGAAGGAAAAACATTTTGTATATACAGGGAAAATGCTTCAATAATAACTTAACCCAAATCAATTACTAGTTCTTATCTAGACCTATTTCTGTAAGTCTTACCAACAGCTTCTCACAAAGTCCAGTCTTGTAATCCTTACTCAGGGCTTTTCTACACTTGGAACTTACCAAAATAATTATTGCAGAGTAGCTATTCTGGTATAACTCACCATTCTGGAATAGCTAGCTATTTTGGTAAATTTCCAAGAGTAGTCAAGCCCTCAGGCAAAACTTCCATTAAAGTTAGTGGACTTGCTGAGATTTGGATCACACTAGAGATATTCTTTAGAAATCTTTTTCAAGATTTTAAAGAAATTTTAATGCTCCTGCTTTCATTTTTCAGAAAGGAGAAATTTGGTTAACTATTAACGGCATTTGACTATTTAAGATAGTTTTCCCCCTATTCACTCTTTACATGGACCATCAATCCTCTTGATATAACTTCCAGCTCCAAATTGAACTTGAGAGCAGTAAGCCTCCACATAAGAGATGCATGGAAAGTACTCCAGGCATTGTCATAGATATGCAGTAGAGCTCTCTCTCAAAGTTCGACAGCACCCAGCTGGAACTCTTACACATTTTTTTACATTATATGCTATATTAAATTAATATATTTAAGGGAAATGAACTCAGCAGCTGAGTCATTTTCATCAAAGTTGAGGATAAGAATTGGTACTCAAGAGTACAGATCATTAACTTATTGCTGCAAGAGAACAACTTTATTGGAACCTGTGTATTCTGTGAAGAGAGGTTTAAAACCGTTGTCTTGTAAAAATGATGATCTTCCTGTGTATAAAGAAAACTAAATGAGTAATATAAAGCAAATGTCACCTCTATAAATATCTAAACTGGATCCAGTATAAATCTAAGCACTGATTTTTTTTTAAAGTCTGAAATGTAAGAATACTGTAGTAATCTAAAATTTTAGAAATATAAAAACAGTTGAAACAAACATTCTTATGGAATGCATATTCTACATAGGAATGTGTTTTTCAGAGTTAGTTTGCTCTTCTGGTAATATATGCATTACTCAGTAATTCTGAACAAGTTAAAAAAAGTTTAAGTAATAGCACATCAGAAGAGATGTACTTTAATACATTTAAAGATGAACTTGCCAAATAGCAGTGTAACCATATGAGTTGGCAGAGCGCTTAAGACGGCTTTTCTTTTGTGCAATACTAATTACTAAAACTGCGTTCATCCTTATACCTTTGCTGTATTTTTGGTCAGAAAATGCAGCCTTAGATCTGGTCACATGGAGTGGACCTTTGTCACTTATATTCAAGGCCCTGCTTTTTGGTGCGATTCTTCAGTCACAGAATTACCAGTTGGCCACGGAATCCTTGAGAGATTACGAGGGAAAAAAACAAAGATTTCAAAAGAATGAAAAAAGCCACACTGCGCACCACTGAAAACCCAAAATGATTCATCCAGTGTCCTTCAGCACATGAGTGTAGGACAGTAGATGCTGGCAAATGCTGTAATGGAGATAAGTGCAAAGTGAAGGTCAGGAAGCAATGGCAAGGATTGGCTTCAGTGCAGTGAGAAGACTCTTGGGAGACTTGGTTGTACTTCATAATGTCCAGTAACCCTCAACACCAAATTGACCACATGTAATTAAGCATTAAACAATCAAAAACAGTTTTACACGTCACATTTAAAATTATAAACAACAAAAGATGAAAGGTCTATTTCATTTAAAAGGTACAGACAAAGGAAAACAGACACATGGATAAAGAAAGCAACAAATAAAAGACAGAGCCATGCCCAGGATTCAGGATAAATCCACTAAGAAATTTTTCACAAGGCCCTTTTAATTAAGGTGAAGATGAGTTGTTATATGGAGTAGAGTAAGAATTATATTAAGAGGCATCTTCTATGCTCTTCTGTTTACCACAGCCTAGACCCAAGGCACCAATGCAGATAAAATGATATCAACAAATAACCAACCAACAAAGAATGCACTTAAATATCACAGGTGCTGTTTATCTGACTGGAGAAAACATGCCTTTGTGGCTCTTTATTTGATGATTCTTGACAGTTCTAAGATTGACTTGGTGAGGCATAAAAACACTCCCACTAATCACAATGGAGTTTAAGCAGTGACGCTGTCAGACACCAGAAACACTGCTTGTAAAAGAAAAAGCTAATGTAAACTCCTTGGGCCAGGCTTACAGACAATGTGGTTCAAGCTGCAGTAGCCGCAGTTGGATATCAATAGAGGTAGAAGAAGATCTGGATAACTCAAGAGATATGACGTCTCACTGAGGAAGGAAAGGTTTCAGAGTAGCAGCCATGTTAGTCTGTACCCGCAAAAAGAACAGAACAGAAGTACTTGTGCCACAAGTACTCCTGTTCTTTTGGAGGAAGGAAAGATATTGAAAGGAAAAATCCTGAATGCTAAAACCAACCAGAGTACTGGACAAAGCAGAGGAGTGCATGAAAGCAGACAGAGCGGTGAAAAGCAACACAAGGGCAGAAGAATGAAGATACACTGAAGATCTAGCAGCTGAAGCTGCTGCTATTATGGGATATCAGAGCTATTTACCAAGCGATTAAAATCCGGTGTGTCAATTTCAGAATAGGACATGGGCCAATAAAAAGCAAAGATGGAAAAATGCTTACAACTGAGGTAGAACAGAAAAATTAATGGGCAGAGCATTCACAGAAGTCCCCAACAGACCAAGGTCGACTTCAGCAACAGATTTCCATTTAAACATGCAAACCTGACCAACTTGACGTTAACATCAGTCCAAGAGACATGACAGAAGTACAGGCCACAATCAGGAAGCTGAAAAAAATAAAGCAGCAGCAGATGATCAAATCACTGCAGAAATGCTAAAAACATTTGATACCATCACCTTAATGAAACTGACAGAGCTGTTTAATAAAGTTTGGGAAAAAGAGAAGCCGCCTGACCAATGGAAATATGGAATCATTGTCGGAATGTCCAAAAGGGGTGATCTTATTGACTAACAACTGAAGAGGAGTTACACTACTCTGTTGCAGGGAAAGCCTTCTGTAGTGTGATTCTAAATAGGATGAAAGAGGCAGTGGACGCAAGCGTAGAAAACAGGCTGGATTCAGGCCCAAGAGATTTTGTGTAGACCAGATATTCAGTTAAGGACCACCACAGAAGAAAGTATAGAATGACAAGCTCTCCTCAACAATTTCACTGATTTTTTTTTTTCCCAAAAGGCTTCCCCCCCCCCAAATAGACATACATTATGGACTATTCATTCTTCACTCCTATGGAATCCCAGCTAAAGTCATAATCATCATCAAGGCCACATACAGAGATGTGAAGTGCTCTGCAAGGGTGGACACCCAGACAACTGAATGGTTCAGTGTGGACACTAATGTGAAACAGGGCTGCATTTTATCACTGCTGGTGTTTAGCATTGCCATAGACTGAATATTGAAGAAGTGTATTAGCAATACTAACACTAGTATAGCGTGGGGGAGTTGGCAAATGTCCAGAAGGCCTAGACTTTGCTGATGATATCATGCTGAATGACACCCATGAAAAGTTACTAATAAAGACAGACAACCTTGCCGCCAACAACAACAGGCCAATCAGGGCTCAAAATTAGTCATGCTAAAACAAACATCTTTGAAACCTAGATTTTAATATTACTGGCAAAAATATCAAGAAAGTAAACCCATTCATCTACCTTGGCAGTACCATATTGACCAATGGACATCACAAGAAGGAAGTGACATCAAGAATAGGAAAGGCACCCACAGCATTACTAACCTTAATATGGAAAATCAGACCAAAACTGAGAATTTTCAATTCTAATGTAATCTCAGTGCTAACATATGGCTGTGACAGATGGAGATCTACCAAATGGTTAGACAGAAAACTAGACACCATTGAAAATAAGTGCCTATGTAAGATTCTGGAGAGTGAGAAAGACTTCATTACCAATGAAGAGATCCATGAAATCAATCAGCAACTCATTTCCACCACACTCAGAAGGAGCCCTGAACATCTATGGGGCATGTACTCTGGATGTCAACACAAAGACTCCACATGAAGCTGTTCAGTGGAAACCAACTGGTGTGAGGAAATAAGGAGTCCAAGAGAAACCTTAAGAAGAACCTTTAGCAGAGAGGGAGGGCAGAATAGTTTGTCTCAGCACCATACAGCAGACAGAAGCAGCAGCAAAAGACAGAGGAATTGAAGAGCCTAATATCTGCCCTGTGTGCCAACCGTGGCACAAAAATGTTTGTTTAAAAAAACCCAGAAAAACAACAAACCTTTATCACATGGGTCTTGTTACAAACTGCAGCAACTGCCTAAAACTGCACTACTGGCATGGGAAATAAAGCAGTAGATAAACACTGCATTTATTTTTTAAGGAAATGTTTTTCTATTATGCCCTCCTGAATTCTGGCATGGAATAGTAAGAGCCCATTGTGGGTAACCCCAAAGCTTAGGGCCTCTGGTCAATCTTCTTTACTAAAACACCCCCATCTTTAGCTTTCATTTAATTTTTTTAGAGTAAATTTATTGCTCATATATTGTAAGCTCATCAGGGCAGGAACTATCTCCCCTGATGTGTCTGTATAGTGCTTAACCCAAAAGGCCTCTGATCCTGACTGGGAGTTCTAGGTGCTACTGTAATATTAATACTATGATGATGAAAGTCAGACATGTGCTACCCATGGCTCCTCACAGCTAACTCAACACACCTTCTTACTTACAATAATCCAATAATGCTTCAAAAACATTTCACCAGAGAACTGGCCCAGTTGCCATCATATACTCCTCTTACATTGACCTGGAGTTTGGGAGCCTGTATTTAATAAATTTGTCATGCAATTTTTTTTAAACAAGGCTGTGTACAAGGACCACACCTGTGAGTTGAAGTATTTAAAGTAAACTAACTAACAAAAATATGGCTTGAAAGTCTGCTCACAAATGACACTAACATTTTAGTTCTGCATGAGCATTGGAGGAGATCTCCAGAGTACAGTTACGTATCTATTTAACAGACGATTCTTAAGGCAGGTGCTCTGGAAAGGTAATTCCTCCTAGGAAATGTCAGTGGTCAATTACAATGGTAAATATGATTTCGGATTAGCAAAATTTAACAAGAAGTGAGAAACAGCACTGCACAGTGTAGATACATTACCAAATGTCTTCACTCAAATGAATGAGTAAGAGTAAGTCCAACAGCTTGGATGATGATGTTCACCTTACCAATAATGTGTGTGTTCACTACCAGGATTGTCTTGTTGATTCCCATATCGCACAGTCAGTACAACTGCTGCAGGAAAATAAACTGAGGTTCTGAATATCCAGTCACAGCAGACCTCAGCAATGTGTCTGAGGAAGGAGACTGATTACCAGTTAGAGGCAGCAGCATCTGATGGTCTTCCGTCCCAATGGGAAGAGAAAGTGGTAAAGACATCTCAGAAGGCTTCACATCTGCAGACTCTGACAAAGGGCTTTTCTGATTCTGAATGGATTCTTCCTCATTGTAGGAATTATCAACTGTGTTAGAATCAAGGGTGGTTTCAGATCCTCAAAACAAAACAAACAAAATTTGTAACATTTATTCATGAGGAAAAAGTAAAATGCCTGCAATTAATGTAAGGAAAAGTACACTAGTGACAGGAAAAACAGTTGAGTGGGTGAGGTAAATTAAGATATGAACCTTTTTTATCCGTCAAAAAACCTCAACACTCCCCCCACCATCAAATGATAAAATCATAGGAATGGAAGGAAACTCGAGAAATCATCTAGTCCAATCTCCCTCTCTCCCCACCCCGGAAGCAGGAACAAGTACACCTACTTCAGTCCCCTTAAAACACTTTGTTACAACTATTCTCTTCTAGGGAACAAACACTGGATAGAGAACTGCTCAAAATTCAAGAAGGGTGATCTGCAGCACTGCAAAGCTATCCCTTTCATCCAGCTGGCTGGTAGGCTTAAAAAAGAGTTCTTTAAGTGTAAGCATTTGGGGTGTCTGAAACTGCCTGAAACTCAGCCACCAAGTCAGTCTGAGCTTAGTCTGAGCTTTAAGTATCAAGTCCCTGGTGCCTGTGTCCAGGTCGTGACAGCTTGAGAAATGATACATCACAACAGAGCCTCCATTATATGGGCCATATTAGAGTAACAAATCCTTATTGTCACAGTTAGGATTTGTTACTCTACTATGGGGAAAATCAGCAGGGATTCCCTGAAATATTCTAGCAGTGGGCTGTAGAACCGTGGGCACGTCAGGCATCACATCTTTCAATTAACACAGTGCTAGGAAGAACAGAACTTTTGCAGGAGAAGGTTGTTTTTACACAGTCATTGTCTAGAGTACAAGTGCACTAGAAAAATCAGTTTTGTTCAGGTCTCAGCTGAAATGGGTGACAATGGATCTTTCATTAAACTTTCACATATGTCTCCTCTGCCCCTGAATCCTTGTAGGGCTTTGAGTCAGGCCCTGCTGAGGCTAGATACGGATATTAATTAATCGTGCCATGCCAATACAATATTATGGTAGCATGCAAGGGCCACAAACTAAGCAAAGGTTTGCAGTTCTCTTGTTGATGCTACTTTAACTCTCTTCTCTCCCTGCCACCACTTTTGCTTCTTTCTCACCTCATCGTCCATGTGTCCACGTACTCAGCCTGCACCACACTCCAGCTCCTTCAGCCTGGCCCTCCTTTGCTTGGCAGCCTCTACATCCCTCTCCCAACCTGTCTCTTCACTATTCTTCCAGCTCCACTTCCACCAAACCCTCCCCAGCAGCTTACAGCTTGTCTCTCCCTGACACTCCCTTCCTTTATCTACTTGATCCTCCCAATCCATCTTCTACATGCAATTTCACTAGTCCATGATCCTCAAAGCTGCAACTGCACATTACTTCTCCTCATTCTGCTAGTCTCTCCCCTGTACTGTCTGGGCCAACCCCTGTGATTTCTTTTTTTATACAACTAGAGGCAAGGGGGTTGTGGTATTAATGCACTTAAGTATGGACAGATGTGATCCACTGTAAGAAGGCATGCCAGTCTGGAGGGAGGTTGTTTACATTATCATCTGAACTGCCCACATACAGTACTGAGCATGGAGGAGTTGTAAGCTATCTGTATAACAAAGTTACTGCCATTCAAACACTTGCATGTAAATCTAGAAAGAATAGGACTAGGTATAACTGAGAAATATTTTTTAGGATAGAATTCCTAATTGTAAGCATTGCACCAGCTGTCTATCTGAGCTTGCATGCCTGTTAATCCAGCTCAGACATGGATTAACTTTGACTATATAAAAAAAAACCAAACCCAACAAACCCAGCATCTTTAACCATTGCATAAAGGAACATTTGGGCCTACAAAGAATCCGGAAAAGTAATTCCTGGAATTGGTGTGTCTCATTCACCTCAAATCTAGACCTGTGAGAGCCATCAGAATGTGGGGTAGAGCCATACTGAATAGGATTCACAAAAGTCTTTTGTGACCCAGATGACTTTCACAGCTGTCTTAGAGCAGAAATCTTTCAGTTTTATTAGATGAGACCAGATTTTTAAACATTAATTGTCTTGTCAGCAGCCCCCCACTCCCTATTGACAATAGTGGCTTAACACTATAGTCACTGCATTTTCTTTTTTAACATTGCGCCAGGACCTTCCATTTTAAAGCCTGCTTTTTTCAATCCTTATCATCTGAAAGATTGGGGTGCCATTAGAGCAGATATTCTAGGCATTAAACAGAGCTACTAGCCAGACCTCTTTTCTTATCTAATTTTATGTTACATTTAAAAACATTTATTCAGCACTAAAGCAGAATTAGGTTTCAGAGTAGCAGCCGTGTTAGTCTGTATCCGCAAAAAGAACAGGAGTGGGCTGTAGTCCACGAAAGCTTATGCTCTAATAAATTTGTTAGTCTCTAAGGTGCCACAAGTACTCCTGTTCTTAAAGCAGAATTGTTATTCTATGACCCCAAAAATTCATTTTTACAAGACTAACACTTACCTGTGTGAACTTTTGTTTTGTGCTTTTTTAAATTTTTTATATCTGTGTAAGAATTTCCACACAGTTCACAGATAAATGGTCTTTCACCTGAAAAATGGTTTGACAGTTAGAAATGCAGAACATAATTGCAAAATGACAGAGAAAAACTATTTCTTAAGCTGTCTATAGGACAAAAGGCAAAATAACTGCGATGAAAATTACTTTAACAGCTTTATGAACTAAACCCTTCTAAAAACAGTATCCAGAATGAAAACATTCAAAGAAAGACGAGATGAAAATGGTGAATACAGGACTGACTGCTTCATTTGAAGCAGATCATACACCCAACTTGTCTTTGTACAAATGTTTATCTGAAAACTAATACTGCAACGTGAATATTTTCTTCCCATGTTACTCCATTTACAATGCTTTACAGAGAGACTGCACTTTATAATCCAAGGAATGGATAAAAAAGTATAATCTCTATTTTACAATTGAGGAAACAGAGACTCCAAGAGGTTAAGTGGCACGCTGACTCACACAGAGCAAGTTTAGCATCAGAGTTCCCGATTCTCTGTTCTACTGAAGTCTTGTTATTTTAGATTTACAACACTTTAGATTTATTTAAAGAAAAACTATCTAATCAATTTTTAAATGAGTTAACACAGATTCACAGTGTGTCATCTTAATTTATGTCTCAACTATAGCACAGTACATCATATTTTAAATGCAAAAGAGCATCCTGAAAAAAATTTACAACACAGGAAGTGGCCTATCTGGAAACTGACCTGTATGAGACCGAAAATGTTTATTGAGCTCTCCTGAGGAAATAAAACTTTTGCCACAAATGCCACATATATATGGTTTCTCTCCTGAAGGGTACACAAGGTGGTTAGTATTTCAATATACAGACATGTGTATGTAAAATACATATTAAACAGAGTCAATGTACAATGGTGTGAAGAGCTCCCCAAACCGCAATGAAAATTCAGATTTGCAACACTAAGCAACCCTCAAGGAAAGGCCCAAGGAACGAGCTGACCTGACTCTGGTACTTTCTCCTATACAGATGCCATACCCGCTAATGCAGACTCCATTACTCCACTCCTCCCCAAATCCAGCTCTTTAGACTCCCATATCACTAATTGCTCCCTTTACCTCTTCCGCTGCAGCCAACCCTCTCCAAGACGGAGCCCCAATTTACGCCAGCTCACTCAGCAGCCCATTTATCCTCACCTGTATGTTTTCGAGAATGAGTGATCAGAGAACTGGACACTGCAAATGCTTTCCCACAGGTGTCACACACATACGGCTTCTCTCCTGTATGGCGACGAACATGGTACGTCAGCGTGCTGGCCTGAGCAAACCTCTGCCCACACCTATCACACACGTAGGGCTTCTCACCACTGTGCTTCCTAGTAAGAAACACATGCCTTAGAGAATCCCACACAAGATGACAGGAACTTTGTATTACACCAGTTAATATCTTATATCTGGCCTCACTATGGTGATATTTTGTGGCCTAACAGGAGTAAGATTAGAGTTTAGTTTTCAGATGGAAGTTTCTCACCCTCAGTCAACAGAAAGAGTCCCACTGACTTCAGTGGCTGTTGGATCAGGCTAAGGGCATTGCACAGGCAATAGGTCAACCCTGAGAAGTAAGCAAGACTTGTGTCACTCTAGTATGAAAGCTGACTACCAACAACACTGACAGCCACTGCAGAGAGACATGTTGTACTCTTCCCTGCCAGAGAATATAAATGGATTCATCCCTTCGCCGAAACAATAATGGCAGAGAAGTTCTCTTCTCTCAGTATGGTTAGAAAGGGAAGAAATTACCAAATGCAACAGGGGCGCTAAGATGAATGATCCCACATGGACTGCTGTTCCAAATCACTACCTTGGGTGGAAGAAGCATGCCAAGTACATACACTAGTCTGCAATGAAGACCTGGAGCTGAAAATAGGGAAGGACTGGGAATGACAAAAACAAATACAACATTTCTTTAGGCCTGATCCTGCAAGTGCGCGCACACACACTGAACTTCCTGCGCAAGTAGTTGTTTAAGCCAACTATTCAAATGCATGAAACTAAGCTTGTGCATAAGTGTTTGCAGGATCAGGGCTTTAGTTAGTACTTTCACTCACCTAGCATGGATCTTCAGATTGCTTGAAGTTGCAAACTGCAGATTGCATACATCACATTTATATGGTTTCTCTTCTCCATGATGCATGCGACTGTGGAAAACTAGCTGGCATTTCTGGGCAAAGCCTTTGTCGCACAATTCACATTTGTATGGCTTCTCCCCTGGGAAAGAGAAACGGTTACCCTTCCCGTCTTGGTGTCTATGTAAGAAAGCCTTCAATTAAGTTAGTCGCCCCAAACTCAGGAGTTGGCCCTAGTAGTTCTTGTTTAGTGATGCCACATAGCATCCAACAATCAAGCAGCTGAGCCTGCACATTATGAGAACTGCAGCAGATAATTTTTTAAAAGCATCACCATTTGAAAATTCTCTGGTAATTAACTATTGCTTTAATAAAATCTATTCTTCACAATTAATACTAGCACTGCACTGTCAGTAGGCAGAGAATCATTTTAACTTATGCAAAAGCCTGGCTATTTGAGATTGAGGAGACCTGTTAAGTTATCTGGTCTGTCCAACTAGTATCTTCTTCAGTTCTTGCTAATATTTCCTTAGTGTCTGCTGCAGCATGCTAACAGCAGTTCCATGACTATTCACTATTTTTGAATTGCTATTAGGGCATTCTCTAATAAATATGTGCTAAGTACTATTCCTAGGTCTCATGTGACTGTATAGTAGGAGAACATGAGTTTATGTTACTATGGTAGTGCAGAATCTGTTAGTAGGCAGAGGTTTCAGAGAGCCTTAAATTTAATACATAATGCCATAGATCAAGGCTTGACAAAAAAATAAATTACCGGACACCTGCTCTCCAGAGGACTAAACCTGCCATCCAGTGGCTGATACAAATGATAAAGTTTCCCAACCATCCATGCAAAGTTTAGGTGCAAGAACCAGGAAAGGGAAATGCACTGCAAAAACACTGTCCTTGAACCCTGCTCAGGGGCTCCAACTTTCATATTAGACTCTGGCTAGTCAGCGTCTGGTACATTTGAAGCCCTCCCCCTTGACTACTGGAAGGGAAAGGAGTTCTTCTCTCAGCCCACCCTTACAGCCTTTTATTTTCCCCTACTCTACTCCTTCCTGAGATTCCTGGAAATAGCTCCACTGCCTGAATCTGCCCAAAGAGGAGCATAATGAAACTGAAATCATTTTAGGAAGTTTCACTACTCCCCTAGAGTCCTGAATAACAGCAGTAAAAGGCACCCATGTGTAGACAGTTTTACTCTGTCACCTACTGAGAAGGCTATGAGCAGCAGCAGCAAAGGCACTGGGGCTCTCTGCAGACAGCACAGCATCAATTCATATTTGGAAGGTTATTCTCATAACCATGTGCTATAAACTTTATGTAATTAAATGAAAGCTCAAATTCTGTAATAATTTATGGCTTAGCAATGCACTATAAACAAGATCTCACTGTCGAAGTTTCCTACTTGCCATTCGGAATTGGATTTTTCAACCCCTGATGTTATCAAACTCATTCTGGTACATCAAGACTTGACAGACAAATAGCTGCACAGATTACTATATTGTGCACATCATGGAAATCTGAAAGCCAGTGAACTAATAAATTATAAATGCCATTAATGTCACATAGCAAGAAAGGAGAGTCTGATCTCTTGTATATCAGTCAGACATTTTCTGCATTGCACTCCACTTATTTACCTTACAAGGATAAAGGACTGAATAAGATCTGTGCTGGGACTTCAGGAAGTCAAGGTATTCCCTACAGGGTGCTTTGACTGCAGTGTTATCCTTTCTAGCTATACTATTTTTCTAGACACATTCATAGTTTCTATTTTTAGAAATTACAGACTGGTGGAATGCAATTAGCACTGACCAGCAGTTACCATCCAAATATACAGAGCGTCAGCATGAAGATTCAAAGCTTCTGAAACAACATATTAGAAGAAAACAGGGCTCCTTTTTAGTTATGCTTCCCCATGCTATCATTAAAAACAGAAGAAGCCCTTATAAACAAGACCAAAGCTTACCTGTGTGCGTTCTGACATGTGTTTTCAGCTGATTACACTGTGTAAATGCTTTCCCACAGAGTTGACATACATAAGGCTTTACTCCTTTGTGTATTCTCATGTGTCGTCGTAGACTACTGGCTTCTGAAAATATTTTCCCACAAGTGTTGCACACTGGTTTGGCCTTGGAGTATTTCTGATCGAGTTCTTCTCCAGAGCTCTCCAGTTGGTAAGAGTTCTTTTCACTAGCTATATTAGACATACTATGTTCTTTCAATGCACAGTTCTGCTGTGGCTTCCCCCGTTTTTGTTTCACTGTAATAGTCTGAACCGAAACATCTTGTGCTGCAAAAGTTTCACTTTCCACCACAGACGCCAGCTGTAGCTCTGAGTTATCGCTGCCTTGGGCAGCTTGTTCCGTTATCTGTGTGGCAAGTTTATTTGCATCTAAAAACATATCAACTGATGAGTTCTCAATTATGTCATTCTGATATTGCACTGGTTTATTCTTCATGTTTTTCTGAGAGTTAAAAGTCTTTTTTCGCTTTCTGGTCTGAGCAGATTTCTTTTCTAAACCCACTTTTTTTGCTTGTGGCTGAACTGAGTCTGCAGAAGGGGCATCTGATTTCTCTCGATTATTGTAATCTCGAAGAGTGAGGAGGCAAGTCTGTTGGTTCAGTTCAATGTTTCCTGTAATACTAGAAATCTCTGTAGAGGAGGGATTAGCAATAAAAGCAAAGTCTTCCATCTTTATTTTACATTTAGTGACCACCTCCTCCACTTTGAGATAGTCAGCAGCCTGGTGAATTTCTTTAACATTCCAACTGCAAGGAAACAAGGCTAAATGACAATACTCTGGACAAAGAAAACCTGTGTCTCTAAGAATCAATATAAATAAATACTAAGATTTTTACATGGCTGTTCTCTTATTTAAAAATAGTTTCATGGTTAAAAAAATATAACAACTGTCAGGGGAGAATCTAACAAAATCTAACTTTATATTTTTGACATTTTGAGATTAAACAACACTGATATAGGATAGGAGACATACAAGCTGACAAAAATAATTCTATAGTGGTTTCATTCAAGGATCTTAAAGCACTTCACAGACAATGAATAAAACCTCAACACCTCTGTGAAGTATTAGCCCCATTTTACAGACAAAATTGTTTTCAAATGGTCATTACCGTGGATCAGTGGCAAAGACAGGAGTAAAACCCAGGAAGTAGAGCTTTAAGCCACTATACTTTTGCTATACCTGAACAGAGGTCAACCTATACTGATTTAAAAAAAATGTGTTATACAGTATTCTAACAAATAACTACCTCTGGAGCTCACAATGCTCGAATACAAAATCAGTGGTAAACAACGTGATTTTAGTATGGTAATAGGTTACCCAAAGGACAGGTTTTAAATAAAGCTATTCTCTGTCAACACAAAAGCAACTACTTTCGTACAATAAAATGACTAAGAATTATACAGATCACCTTAGTCTAAGCTTACATGGGTTCATTAGAAATGCAAAAGGGAAAAATGATGATTAAAAAAAAGAAAAGCAGTGAAGTTCAGCAGGTCAGCCCAAGTTTTGATATTCTGAATATTCCTTCATGTGAAATAATATGCAATACTAAAGTGAGTAAAACAGAATTTACCACAAGTGTTCTTTCAACCCCTTTTTTCTTATCTCCTTCCCATTCTCCTTTCTTGTCTTATCTGTCTTTCTTTCCTGCCTTTCTTCTTGTCCATCTATTTTCTCCTCCTCTTCCTCTCTTCATTAAGGGCAAGACCAGCAGTTACAGAAGCATTCTAAGGATGCTGCAGTGGTTTGTAAAAGCACTTTCTTAAAGAAAAACTGCAGTAATTGGTTTTAATAGCTTTGAAAGATAAATATTAACTACAGAATATCTTGAACACAACCCCCCAAGTTAGTTCAGCAGTAGGGTGGCACAGTTCAAATCACAACAAGCCAGGAAATACAAAACTAAGGTTCCATCTATTGCGTTAACTTGTCTGCACTGCTGATGGAACATTAAATTTTATTATACGTAAGGTACATGATTTTACCACAAAAAGATACACAAAGAATAGAAAATACCGTGGAAACTATTAAAAACTAGACATTTATCATGGTACATGAGATATATCCTGGTCTAATAGGGACTACCAAAAATAAAATGGTATAAAAAGTAAAAACAGTGGTGCTGTAAAAAAATCCATTTTAATAACGCCCACTGTACTAAATATGTGCAGTGTGGCAGAACTAATGATGCTCTTACATTGCCTGACTTTTTGTCATTTTATTTGTGCAACCAAGATGCTGTATTAACAGTTTTACATTCAATTTCTGCCAGAGTGGATCCAATTGCAGGATCAGAGCCTAAATAACTAAAAACTGCTTTTTTTGGTACTCAGAGGTAGTGATTAGAATACCTTGTATTATACAAGTTTTCCTCTCAAGCACTGATTGCAGAGTGAAATTGTCTATGGATCCAATCCTTTAACTACTTCTGCATGGAAGCAATTGTTTTCTTTCCCCACATGAACAACAGGAAAAACTGACTACACACAAAGTGATGTAAAGTGCACAAAGTTAATAACTAAAATGTGGAGAAATATTTGTTCTCTAATCACTTTCGGGTACAGTAATAAGAGGCGTTACTTGTAACAGTAAGAGGTAAAACAAATTCATACAGAAGTGCAATTTTTGAATTGACGGTGTCCCTAAACTATCTATCACAGGGTGAATGTCCCCTTTAAGAGGAAATGGATCCAGTTCACCTGTGACTAGTTAGCTGCCTCCCAACAGGGCCTGACAGAAGGCACCTTGCTTCTATAAAGACCATGGCAGCAGTTGAGAAAAGGGAGCATGTCAGAGTTACTTGGAGAGTGCTCCATAAAACAGTGATAGTTGGGAGCTTCTTGTGAAGAGAAAGATATGTAGGAAACTGTTGGGAGAGTGAAGTAGATGGGAGTTGTTGGAAAGAACTGGCCAGATGAGGAAACCCTGAGAAATAGAAGACTCATATAGAAGCCTCAAGGTAAAGGGGAAGAACTAGCTCAGAGTAGGCCAAGCCCATGAACTAGAGAACTGATTCTAGAGGGGGGTTCCCATAAGAAGGGGTAGGACTTGCAAGCAGAGGAGCCTGGGGAATGAAACATTGTGGAGAGTATGTGGCAGCCTAGGCATAGGAATTGGAGAAGAGGGACTATTTACTCTTGGGTGGTCAGCCAGGAGTGTAGACCCGGAGGATCGCTGCATTTCAACCTGCCTTATTTTGGGGTTTTTGAGAACTGTATTACTCAGAGGGACCTGCTGAAGGTTGAAATTCTATTAATAAGTTATACCTAGAAGAAGAGCTTCACTTAGACATAGAAGGACAACAGTCCTTTCCTGGGTGGGGAAAGGTGACCTTCAGGATGATCCATAGAGGAAAAGATGGGCAACTCACTAGCCCAGGAGATTGTAGGAGAAATTGAGGGAGGACTAGCCCTGACCCATCATGGTTGATTACAGGAGGGTGCTCTTGTGGTGCTGAGTTCTGTTTCATCTTCTCTCAAATACTGGTATTTGCCTTTCCTGCTTATGCAGCTAGGTCTGTCTATGTATACGAGGAAAAATGGGCTCCTGTACAATCAACATTACTGTGGGGGTTATCCTTCTCCTCCCAGAAATTAAGTGGAATGGATTTTTTTAATCTCAATCCAGAGATTAAGAGTCAAATATGAAAACTCCTACCAGCAAGTCATTTGACCAAATATAGTTTTGAGAAGATTTATATAGATGCTATGGAAAGTTGATTCTAGTTACTACCCTGACAAGGTAGTTAGATGTGAATTTATCTGAAAACCATCTAAATGGCTTCTGGATGGCTTATACAAACTAAGTTTTTAATTTTTTTATATTTATAATAGAGATCAGGGTCACCAAGGTGAGTCTGGCATGCACATAAAGGCTTTGGTGTAGAAATTGAGTAGATGAATGGGAGAGGGGGCAGAGAGAACTACAGCAACACAATCTGAAAAATGATTAGGTGACAGCAATTGTAAGGGTTAATAATGAGTTTAGATACCTTAGCAAGAGAGAAAATAGGAAACCAATTTCAGTTTTAACAAGCTAGACACTATCACATACTTTGAATAGAAAATAATAAAGGAACCCTAGTTGGTTTATATGCATGGCAGTATTTTAAAAGCCATGTAGACAGCTTTATTCTTTAGTATGTATTGTATCTGAAATTAAATGTGTTCTGCCATAAATTATGACAAAAATCAGTACTGGATCTCTTTAACTTTAAAAAAAAAGTTACCTGTCAAGGTTTAAGTTTCCTGTGTATATAAACTCCAGGAGTTTCTGAAATCCATCGGCCTTCACTTGAGTCTGATCCAAAATTACATTACTGTCAGAGGCATCCCTGTAAAATGCACCAAAGTACTCGCTGAAGGAGGCAAGCACATTTCTGTGAGCTTTGAACTGGAATTCACCAATAACTACTGTGCAGTCACAAAGGAAGCCTGTCTCTCGCTGCTTGTTCAGCCTCTCTAGAAGGTGCTCACAGTGATGGGAATACTGCATTTTGGTAGAGGGATGGAGCGTCTTGGCCTAAAGAAGCAAAGGAACTTGTTTACAACTGTAATTTCATATCTTTCTAACATAGTAAGTTAAGTGGGACAGTGTCCAATACTGTTCCCATGATCATTGCAATGCACCTCACTTTAATATTGTCCTTTGTACAAAATATAAAAAACAGAAACATAGCATTGGATCCCTCTCAATTGTGGGCCAGTTAGTCTTAATGCATACAGAGACAAGGTGTGGGAGCGAAAATGACACATTAGTGTGTGTGTATATATACAAATGTTCCCCTGCCCCTGAAATCTGAACACTAGGTGAATTATTCATTGGTCCAAGTCTATCAGCCTGATGCTTCTACAGAAATGGTCCTGTAACATGTAAGAAGAATGTTAAAGTTTCTAATTGGTGGAGCATCTCCCTACAGAAACAGACTTTCCCCCCCCCCCACTGGACAGATCATGGGAATGGTTACTATGATCTACTGAGTTCTAGTGCCAGATCTGCAAGTATGTGGCTCTTGGCAAGACTCAACCTCTCTGCATAACTTTCTCCGGGTATACAAGGGGGATAATGTTTACTTACAGCTATGTCACGGGAGTGCTGTGAAGATCAAGGATCCTATCAACTTTTTAAAAGTTTACCTGGCTATATGCGAGTGCCCTGGCTAGGCCCTCTTTTTACTTTGCTACAGTCGGTAGCAACTGTCAGTGCGGGTCATTAACACAGCAACAAGAGAGAGAGGAAAATATCTGTATAAAGCCAGCACAAGTGCCAGGAGTCTGCATCTCGCTCTTTTAATTACTCCTTGCAAGCAGCCTCAATCTCAAGCAGACCGTGCCCCCTCCCCTGGGGGGCTGGGCAGCACTTTGCCCTGGGCTGCACTAGGCAGGCCTGCCCCGACCCAGCGGTGGGGAAGGAGAGTAAAGTGCCCAGCGTACACGAGGCTTCGCCAAGTAGCAAGGGCCCAGGGCGGCCGCTGTTTGCTTCTATGGCAGTAGGGAGGGGTAAGGGGGCACCTGCCCCGTGCCACCCTCGCTCCTAGACGACTCCATTCTACCCCCGCTCCTCAGTTAGCTGCCTGGGGCGGTTCCTTTGCCCAATGCCTGGACCCCTACAGTTACTTGGTTCGGTTCGGTCCCCGCCCCCCCTTCTCTCCCACCACCTCAGCCCCCACCCTACTCCCAGCCGACTGGCTCGGCCCAGTCGGTCACCTCCAGGGAGTGGCTGACGCGGCTCGGTCTACACCCACATATACCCCGGGGTGGCTGGTTCCGTCCCATCTGCCGCTGCCACCACCCCTCCGGAGCCGGGCGATTTAGTCCCGTCCGCTCCCACAGCCCCCCAAGATGGGTCGATTCGGTCCCGCCTGCCCATCCCCCCAAGCGGCGGAGACAGCTGGAGTGGGGGAGTACTGTACACACACCTGAGGAAGGCGAGACCGAGTCCGTTCACCTCAGGCCGCCATTTTATGATGACAGCACACGCACCGCTTGTCCGCTTCCGGAATATCACTTCCGGTCTCGGCCTTGGAGGTCTCTGCCTCCATCCACATTGGAGCCAACCAGGCTCCACGTTACGTAGCTAATAGGACCTGCCTCCCACAGTGGCACGGCGTCATCCTCCGGTCTCGGTCTTGTGGGGCTGCGGAGGGTGGAATAGAGGTGGTGGGCAGGGCGTGGACAACAATTCCCATCGTGCACCGCAGCACCGCAAGTGGGAGCCCCGATTCAGCGTGGAGCAGTGCATCGTGGGAGATGTAGTTCCGGCAAGGCTGCCCCTCTACTCAGTGGGGGTGACGGGTCATGTGGCTACCAGAAATGGGCCTCCAACGCCGAGATCTGGCAGCTCGTGTTACAAAGTCTGGGTAGCTCCTTCCCATGAGTCCCACGTGTGATTTACAGAGGAGCAGGGGCACAAGCTGCGGATGACCTTGACTAAGTGGGATAGTTTACCAGGAGTCTGGTGGCACCTTAAAGACTAACAGATTTATTTGGGCATAAGCTTTCGTGA